AGTCGCAGTCATTTCATAAGCAACTGAAGATTTTTACAAAAATTGTGATTTTTTGACCTTGTAACCTCTAGGTCTCATTAATGTTGCTAGCTTTGGTTCATAGGCATCGCAAGAGAATTTCAAAAAATTCATTTTCAAGATTTCTGCAAAACCCTATCATTTTTTGCAAATTTTATTGTCTGTGACGTAGGACGCAACAATCATAAGGGCCAGGCATACTTCACGCGATTTCCGTCGCGACGCGATTTGGCAATATTTTAGTTGTCCATAACTCTGATGCACATTTTAATGTACAGAAGATAGGGCATCATCAATCCAAGTAAGTTATACACTATGCATGTGCAGTTTGCTTGTGTTGAATCCGAAAACTTCTGGCGAATTGCCAAACCGCGTCGCGACTGAAATCGCGTAAAGTATGCCCGGCCCTTTATACGCCTTATGAGAACATGTGTAACCAGCAGTAATTTTTTATCAAGCATGAAAGCTCGCTATTTACACTATTCGAACTGAATCGAACCAAACGATTTCGTAGAAATGATAATTACATATTTCAAAAATCCATTGTAACACTTTTGGACCAATCCAAAAAGCATGAAGACATTTCTCCTTACCAAGGAAATTTAGTAAAGTCAATAATCACGATTCAGCTACTTCTAGCAGTAGCAGCAGCTTAGCAACGTAAGAATCGCAAAAACGTCGAGAGTACAAAGTTTCTCCTTCTCATCAAATGCGTCAAAGTCTCGATTCACATAATCCTTCGACACCATTGAGCCAATTTTCGCTCGCACACCATTGCCCCAATAAAAACCGTTCAAACGATGCGTGAAATCATTGGCTCCTTGTTCAAATCTCGCCCAGCAGGACGCTGACGTTTGGGAATGAATCCATAATATGATGGCTTCCCACTTTATGGTCAACGATTGAAAATGCTGGACATCGGATTGAATGTGAGAATAGTTGCTTGTGGTAATTTTCCGTAGGGAATTCATCCTCGGGATTCATGACTTCTTGTCACGTTGTATACTAAAAGAAGCGTGAAGGTTCTACTTCGCTGTTCTTTGAGAATTTTTGGAAACCCGGCAAGTATCTATCGGATTGATAGGAGTTTCTCATAGGCCATCAAAAAAAATGATAATCCTTGGAAACTTACACAGCCGAGAAGCTTGTGCATAGCTAAACTGCAAAAAAATCACTTGACGAGTTGGCAGGGGTCATCTTCTTATTTAACTAAAAACTTATATGGAACTCCAGCTATACCAAATTTTTTTTTGTAATGCTGAATGTAACTTCCACATCTGCAGTAGTAGGACTACCGTGATTTAAGATGTGATTCGCAGTTTGAGCTGCACAGTTAATCTTGCATGGAGTAGACAATGTCAAGAGCTCTTGAGAGTTACTCAGAGTTTTTGGACTTGAATGCGCTAAAAGTTCGTTTTATTTTGATGGTCGGAAGTTCTTGGAAGCTCAAGTCATCTGAAACATTTTTATGATTGGAAATTTGGAACATAGATTCTTGAAGTTTCGTTTCATGTTTGCTAACCAAAACAGTGTCAGGGAGTAGTCTTACCAAGAACACAAAATAATTGTTCTATCAGTAATGGACTCACTTATGGACAATAACCAAGAACACCGGCGACAGCAGGCGACAGAACAGCATTATTTGAATAAAAGTATTCAAAAAGCGAAGTGCCTAGTGAAGGCTGTTGAACTTTAGAATCAATTTTTTGATTTGAATGATTTGGGTGATTTTTAAAATTTTTCCTGGCGATGATAATGGGTAAATCAAGCATTTTCGATTATGCTCTGGATCTCATGTATACTTACGCTCAGCAGCTTTTGTTGCTTAGGAGCTGGGACGTGGTAATCGTAGGATTAGCAGTATGCTTGTGGGTAATGGGCTTTGTCTCGTTCCGAAACTCATGCTTTCGACGCCGCCGGCATCAGCTATGAATGGAGGTGGCCACCAGCCGAACATCTGTTGGCCCTTACAATCGACTTCCGCGATCGATACGAACCCTCGCTTGTTCCTCAGGACATCTGTTCCACACAATCATCATTCAGCAAAAGCTCTTTCAATAATTAGGCATAATTTTTCGAGGCTCCTTAATTCTCTGCAATCTTCGTGAATCTATTCATCCCGGCATGTTTGAAAGTTTCCTTAGTCATGATGAGCTCATTCTTATAAAAAAAGACGGTAGCTCGGAAAGCGCAGCCAGTGTTTAACCCTTAAAATTATTCTCCTTCAAATGAGGAACATTAACTTTATAATGAAAAGATGCTGTTCTCTCAAAATTTGGCCAGCTATATGTCTGGAATTGGATTTTCATTCATGCAAATCAAGCTTAGTCAATTGTATATTCTTTTTTTTCGCTCATTCCCTGGAGCTTGTTGTTAGTTTTATGATGTTCAATCGCTTTTCACTTATAATAACATCTATTCGTCTTGACGCTTGAGCAATTTTTTTCTCGGAAAAACTTGTCAGTACACTTTGACCCAATTCATTATTCTGGCAACATTCGCCAAAATTATGGGCGCAGCAGTTCCACACGCTACTGCCCATTTTATTGAGAAAAGATTGTACACGGCATTCAATTTTCATGAATCTTGGCAGTGCTTGGGATGTTTTGACCAATCAAATTCCGGGAACATTCCAAACTATGCAAAAAGTTGGAAACTTGATACGAATACACCAAACGCAAAAGAGAAATCTGGAGATATGCACGATCCTGCAAACGATTAAATTTTTAGCGGAGAACTTGTGACTCTTTGACTTTAATGATGGAAGAAATCATCAACAGTACTTCAATAGCTGTAAAGGGTGATTGTAAAAACTCACGCCAGTATCCCCCGTAGGCGATCCACAAATTTTAAGTTCTCAGCATTATGAAAACGATATAAGATAAAGACCATTTTTGAAATGTCTTTGAAGGTGGTTGCTTTGTCGCAATAATCCTATGGATTTTATCGTAAAAACTAGTTGGCAAACCCGGCTCCGCCCGGCCCTGTCAATAACATATTTGTAATCAGCATGCTCGATTACCCCCTTGTGCCAACTCCCAGCTCCGTAGCTCAAATTTTGCAAAAGATCGATAAAATCGATATCGATCGATAACGAAAGTAGCCTATGACACGCTCCCTGCCCTGAAGTGTACGTATGCCAAGTTTGGTCCAAATCGGTTCAGAAATAAAAATTTCTATTCCGCCCATACGTACATACATACATACATACAGACACACATTCAGCTTTATAGATAAGATACGGGACCATAGTGTTTTGATGCCAGAAGTCGTTTATTTACGATTTCCTCTATGCTATATTGATATCCTCTAACATCGCTAGGATTACACACTTATAAATGTTACCGGCTTTTAACCAGTCTGGTATCTAGAGTGCATCAGTGTACGCTAACCATCAAATGAGGTGACAGATGTATTTGATCTTATAATAAAAATTTTTTCTTAGACAAACAGTGCTTTCAAAATCATTTCCCTAGTGAATGAAAAGAATTTCACTACATCATTAGTACGTGTGATTTGCTAGACTTGCGTTTAAGTTTCCGTGTTCTTTTCAATGACGCACCTTGAGTGCATATATATAAACAAATAATTAAATAAATAAATAAGCGAATAAATCATTAGTAAACAGCATGTCAGCTCATCCTACAGTACAGTGCGGGCTTTTGTTTCATTCAAATTCAGTGTTTAGTCTACAAGCCAAAACTCATTAGTCGGCACCCACCACGTTAATCTTTTGCAGTTCATTCCTACAAATCTAATAATTGTAACATGTGTTGTTGGTGGTTTCTCAAAAACTAGATGCCGGGGATTACAAGCAATCCGCCTCTAACCCTTTGTTACTGAATCGATGTTTTTGAATTTTCTTGAGGCTTCTTGATATGAAGCGTAAAAGGCTCAAAGCTGCAAACAATGAACTGCTTCTAAATTCTAGGATGACTTCAGATTTACCCCGTAAAATCCTTCCCAAAGTTATATCGTCATCCACACTACAACCGGCATAGCGGTCCAGCGGTGAGTATACCCTTGTTCCGCACCCTGCATGACCACAGAAGTGCGGAACAAAGACTCAGTTGTTGTATCTCATCAAAAACACCCAGCAGTAGGAAATGCTGACTTCACAGATCACTGAAAAATTTATACATTTCTTGGTTTACTTGACAATCGTCTTCCTACACAAATTGTGCCGAAAAATGGTGGTTGTAAAGACACTATTATTAACGCACTGAATTTTTGTTGGAGTCATCGAAAGATGAATTACTGTAAAGATGAGCACGATATGTGTCGGCTGTTTTCTTTATCGTATCAGGTAAATCAGATATCAAGAAATAGTTTTAACAATTAGTTTTTGTCAACAAAATGTGGTTTGAATGTTCAGCTTATCTCTATATATATAAAACAGAAAATCTGTGAGTTTGTTTGTGCGCATTCGAGTGCAGGCTGTGCAGGGTGTGCAGGTGGGCAGGGTGTGCAGTGGGTGCAGGATGTGCAGGATGTACAGGATGTGCAGGGTGTGCGGGATGTGCAGGATGTGCAGGATGTGCAGGGTTAGATGCAGGGGGTGCAGAGTGTGCAGGGTGTGCAGGATGGAGAGTTTAGACTGATAAACTGGCTCCAAACCGGAGTGAAACCCGGGATGCCTGCTCGTAATGTATTATGTTGTAGTTATAGCTTTTTTGTCATCCTTTTACAAAGCATAATTGAAGGTTTAGGCCTTAAAGATCTACTTCGAGATGCGGGCTTTTCTTTCACCATATTGTGCTGCTTTCAAACTGATCCCCATCAGAATATGAACGGATTGCAATGAAGCAAAATGACGATCTCAGAATATCTGTCATGTACAAGCTAATTTCTTGAGGTTCTTGTTCACCTAAGCGTTCCTCTTTGATTTATCACTCTGATAAGCAAAAATCCGCATGTTTCGGCTGATCTTAGAAGTAGCTTAGCTTTTGATCGATTGTCCAGATTCCAGAAACAGCGTCAAGATGCTTCGACCTCCAAATTCATTTTCGGGTATGCTGCACAGACTGGCAGTATGGCTAATGCTCGCATTTCTATGTAGTGCTATCATCAGATTTGTGTGAGTTCTGGAAGAGAACTCTCAAATTGTGCTCGTAACAAATCACACAATTCAGGTTAATGCTCGATCTCAACAAACGGGTCTATAATCACACTCCGGGTCCTTGTCGGATTGTCACTGGAATCAGTAAGTTCTAGACTTTTCTTAGCGCTTTTCAAAGGTACAACGTACAGGTGATGGAGCAGCAGGTCTCGAACTTATCACCGAGATGGATCTAGTCTTTATTTCTACTGGTCTTGCCAAGGCCTACGGTAATGAAAGTGTGCATACTGGTCTGGCTGTGATCCAGCTCAAAAAAGAAATGGCAAAACATGAAGCAACAGCAATCAAGATCGAAGGAGAGCAGTTCGATCAGGTTTGATGTTTAGTATTTTTCTATGTTCTGTCTCTTCTGTTAGTGATGCAGATTTGATTCTCTGGCATAATTGTAATTTTCTCTAATCAGTAAAAGAGCGGCTAATGAAAAAATTGTTTGGGAGGAACCTGGAGAAGCGAATCAAAAGCGTGTGAAGAAAAATAAACTCTTTTTCTTTTTTTCCGTCTTGAATTTTCGGTCATCTCAGCGATCATGTTTTTCTACACTTCTCAAGTACTTTTCTTTGCACTTTGTTGATGTCGGGCGGAATGAAAACGAGATTTCCATTCTCTCTAAGCTCAATGTGACAAAGACAACTCATAAGTACTCGACTGTTTGCCTTTTATTTTTGAATGGTTAGAATCTTCTAGAAACTTTATATCTGCATTTCGCGGTATTCAATATATTTGCCGGCCTCAACCTCATTTTCCTCTCAGCTAGTTTTTATTTTGGCCCTAACCTGGTGGATATCATTTTGTTTGATTCAGAGTGCATTTTCATTATTCTTGGCATAATTGTTTTATTTTTAGAGAAAGTTCGTGCCACTTGGCATCTCAGCTTACCACAGCAAAGGGCGAGTGTTGCTGTATGTGGTGAACTCGCATCCTGAGAGACAGTGCGTTGAGATATTCACTTACCACAAAGACAAGAATGTTTTGTTCTACAGAAAATCTGTGTGCGACGAGCGGTTCTCCAGGTACAATTTCTCTTCCTATTCTCTTCTGCGTTTTGTAATCTGCTTGAGAAAATTTCTACACATACGACCTGGTTCATATGAAACTGTAAAGCATGAAAACCAAGGCTGAAATAAGGTTTATTTTGGTTTGCTCAAAACGTATTTATTTATGTTTTATACAAAAAAATTGCAAATGATTCTTTGCTCATGTGTTGGATGATCCCCCAGATTAGGACAGGGGTAGAACAGCTATTAGAAAGCCGAACTTTCTAAACTCTAGTAAAGATTTTCTAATTTTATTAATTAAAATCGATTTTCTTCATGCTGATGGTTTACATTATTATCAAGTTGTGTGAAAATTCTTGTACATTTCCGTGTCTGAAATTGCGGGAAGGGGGGAGGGAAGACGAGCATGATTTCAAAAAAGCGGAACTCGAGCTGCGCTGATATAAATCTGTCCGCTTTAAAGATAGGTATGTACAAACTTTTGATGGTTTCTTCATAGTTTTACATTTACCAATTTGACTAAAACACCTTCCACAGTTTTTTGGCTATCTATCTGCAGCGTAAAGGGATAAAATCCAAATAACAATAGTGATATGGAGCAGCAATTACAGTAATTCACAAATATACTTTGAGATTTCTAGTACCCCGTTGATTGCAGCCTGTATGATGTTGTCGTCGTTGGTGCTGATCGTTTCTTCGTTTCTAATTTGGCTTATATGGGAAAGGGCAAACTGCAGACAGCTGAGCTCCTCATGCAGGTATATTAACTCCTTCATTTCTTATTTGATCAACAAGGTTTTTTTTCAATTGTAGAGCAGTTTTGGAGCGCTTTACTTCTTTGATGGTCGAAAAGTCTCACTCCACGAATCCGGTCTTTCGTCACCCTCAGCTTTGGCTATTGACCGACAAAGAAGACTGATTTTTGTTGGTTCACTGATGAACGAGGTACGAACTTTGGTAAACAAGGGATAGTGTCAGAAGCTAAGTAGGTTTTTTCATAAATCCTGCACAAAAAAATGTATGAAACTGCTTTAAAAACATTCAAGAAGTAGAAAGAAGCTTTCCACCAAGGGTTTTTGCAACATAAAACAAAAGAAATTGAATGAGGGTCATAGCTACATATTCCTACACATCCACTAGCACGGATTCATCTCAATAAGAAAATAGTCGCAACCAAAAACTGAATTTTTTGGGCCTCCCAGCTTTTGGGCATCTCAGCCCTTTCACCAACCAAATTTGAATAAATACGATTTGTCTCTCTTCAACAGCTTGTAGCGCCGTGATATTCCTATAAGGAATTTTGCTTAAAGCACTTTAGATAGAGTGTATCTTTTTCTGAACTGAACCGAATCAAGTGGATTCTTCAAAAAAAAAAGAGAATTACGATTTTTTCAAAAAGGAAGACTTATGGACCAAACTAATAAATCCACGTCCCGAGTAAATCTCCGTAAGAATTAGCGGAAATTTACTTTTCAAAATTTTGCCTAACACAACCTTAGCGAGGACTTAATCCATGTATTCTTCTTTGCAGTCAACTCATACTCCACATAAAACTCTTTTTGTTATATTTATTTTCGTCGTGGATCGCAAGCTTTTATGCCATTGGCTCATTTTTGACTTTTATGAATAGTTTTTCGCACAGGTATGTAGCTTCAAAATCTCGTCTTATAATGAAGAAATGCCTTTCATGCTTGAATCTGCGATAAAAAAAATCAATTTGGTTGTAGAGGACTTTTTTCCAGAATATTCGGGTATATAAACTGGAAAAGGACTATTCGCTCACTTCTCAAACTCAGATCACATTACTATCTTCACCTGCAAGCATACATATTGACGAAAAGACAGGTATCCTTTGTTCGTTTACACTTTTTGGCGCTATTTGGCAGAGTTCCAAACTAAAATTTTCCAGGTGACATTTGGATAGCACTGCATCCGGTGCTTCATCAAGCCTTTATGGTTGCTCTCTACCCTAGCGATCAAAATGTTCGCAGCTCGAGTCAAGTATTGAGAGTCAGAATACAGGTAACGGGAACTGTCCATAAATTAAAAGGCTCAGCTTATTTTCTATAGGAAGATGGCATCAGCTGGGTAATTACCGAACCATACGCAAATGATGGTGCCACTATCTCTGCTAGCAACGCTGTGGTAGGTTTTTTGCCAAGGCTACAAACCTGAAATAACATCGAAAAAAATGTTTACATCTAGGTTTACAAAGACGACCACCTACTCATCGGTTCATTGTTCGGCCGCCTCCTGCACTGTGACGTACTAAACCCTTCAATAACCTAAAAACGCTAAATCGAATTGAATCTCATCTAAGATTTGTCGATCTCAGGGCCGTGATGTAGTCTGGTTTACGATCTCTGGTCTCTCAGAACTATTAGGTTGTCCCATAAGTCTTTTCATACCTGAATTTTCAGCGGCATAAACCAGTTCTTCTTGAACTCCTGATAAAATGCAGGGTACCGTTCTACAGATCAAAGTAAGCTCTACAAGATGGCGTTCAAAAGTTCGCACCAAGCTCAATCTGCAACAAGTTCCAAGCCAAAATAGAAAAATTTCCGAATTTCCGAAAAAACGGAAATCATCATATTTCAGTTCAAAACAGCTCTGCAAATTTTCCACTTTTTCATGCATATACTCTCCCCATCGGATATCCATACATGCGTTTGCTGCATTTTTCTGATGGCTAGAAACCAAGAAAAAAATAATGCGCTCAATTTTCAAACTTTTCCTGGATTACTTCTGTGTACCCCGCAAATGGTTGATTATATAGCTTATTCACTCAGAATTACTGTTAAAAATTTGCAGCCTATCAGGTGCTGTAGTTCTTGAGAAAAATCGAATTGAAGGTCCGAATATGAAAAGACTTATGGGACAACCTAATATAATATTTATATCTGAGCGCCTTTATTTATATGTGATATTAGGCTGCCAAATTTGTTCATTGTAGGTGTACATATTGAATCAGATGCATTTATTAAATCATTTTGTAGATGTGTGTCAATATCAGAAAGAAGTTACTGAAGGCAGAGGATCAGAGAGCCTCATTGTGAGGATTGTGGTCAGAGGTGCGATAGGTGGAGCCGGGCCCCCCAAAAGTGAAGGTGGTTCCAGCTACCACTGGCCGGCCAAAAGTGAAGGTGGTAGTGCCGGACACTCACCTCCCAAAAATGTCGACCGGGGGGGGGGTGGTCGCAGGCTACCACTGGCCAGCAAAAGTGGGTGGTAATGCTGGACACTCACCTCTCAAAAACGTTGACAGGGGGTATAGAGGGGGAGGGTAGGGAGGGGGGGGGGGAAGCATAGAACTGAGCTATCCTTTCACGTCGTCGCCGGCCGCGAATGCCTGCAAAAGAAAGTATTGAGAGCATATTCTATGTAGTTTACTTTTAGGAAGTAGCCGTCGCCCACTGCGGCACCTGGAGGCCATCACCGACATGGACGCATATACGCCTCAGCACTTTCTCCGATAGAGCAAAGCTTCATGATGACTTCGGATAAATGAAGAGCTCTAACCCAACGGTCCTCTTTAGGGCCAATAACTGTAACCCAACGCCCTCTTTAGGGCCACAAATACGATGAACACAGCGGCATAAATATTCGAAATAAACGTGTCAATGAAATGGTGTATTTTGAAGTGAAACTCAACGACACTCTACAGATTTTATTAAGTAAATTTAGTTATGTCGTACTGCGAAGAAAGTAGGTCGATCCAGGAAGTATTTGCCGAGAACCAGAATTTTGAATGAAAAAATAACCAAAAATCATGCAAAATTGCCACTGTTATAAACCAAGTGGTTGAAGATGTCAGCAACTGCGACTTCATAGGTTTTAAAGGGTAAGTGTTGCTCTAACAGATAGTGAAAGAATCGGGTCGATTTGAGCAGTGATCGCTGAGAACGAGAATTTTGAAAAATTAGGCGATTCTAGGCTAATTTTTGACTGCTGACATTTGAACTCCTAAAACTCTTGATTGTGAAGATGTGTGATGTTGCGACTTCATAGGTTTTCTAGGGTAAGGTTTGCCCTACTAGAATATATCTTATCCGTACCAATTCATCAAAGCACCGCCGAGATCCAGGCTCTTGAAAAAGCAGGTAAAAAACAGCTTTTTGAACTTCAACAGCTCGTAACTTCTCCAGAACTGCATGAATCATGTTGCGACTTCATAGGTTAGATTCCTCTCATCAAGGGCTTTCAGATGATATATGATATATGGGGGTATGGGGCCTTCTTCGACGTATGATCGGGGGGGGGGAGACTTTTTAGGCCAAAGTCTCCCCCTCGCCCATTTTAATGTATTGGCTGGAGGCCGCCAGGGGAGACTTTGGCCTAAAAAGTCTCCCCCCCCCCCTGGCATATGCCGTGAAAGGCGCGAAACCCCCACATATTATATATCATCTGAAAGCTCTTGATGAGAGGAATCTAACCTATGAAGTCGCAACATGATTCATGCAGTTCTGGAGAAGTTACGAGCTGTTGAAGTTCAAAAAGCTGTTTTTTACCTGCTTTTTCAAGAGCCTGGATCTCGGCGGTGCCTTGATGAATTGGTACGGGTAAGATACATTCTAGTAGGGCAAACCTTACCCTAGAAAATCTATGAAGTCGCAACATCACACATCTTCACAATCAAGAGTTTTAGGAGTTCAAATGTCGGCAGTCAAAAATTAGCCTAAAATCGCCTAATTTTTCAAAATTCTCGTTCTCAGCGACCACTGCTCAAATCGACCCGATTCTTTCACTATCTGTTAGAGCAACACTTACCCTTTAAAACCTATGAAGTCGCAGTTGCTGACATCTTCAACCACTTGGTTTATAACAGTGGCAATTTTGCATGATTTTTGGTTATTTTTTCATTCAAAATTCTGGTTCTCGGCAAATACTTCCTGGATCGACCTACTTTCTTCGCAGTACGACATAACTAAATTTACTTAATAAAATCTGTAGAGTGTCGTTGAGTTTCACTTCAAAATACACCATTTCATTGACACGTTTATTTCGAATATTTATGCCGCTGTGTTCATCGTATCTGTGGCCCTAAAAAGGGCCGTTGGTTCAATTGTTGGCCCTAAAGAGGACCGTTTGGTCATAGCTTTTTGAATCGAAATTCGTCCCGAAGCTATCTTCTCCGATTTCGTGGAAAGGCGGAAAAGTGGATGCGTCCATGGCGGTGATGGCCTTCGCTTCCGATGGGTGACGGCGAGTTCCTAAAACTGCAATACATATGTATATGCCTTCAATAATCCCTTTTGCGTTTGTTTTACTTATTTTCCTTCTTTATATCCAACAAAAATTTTTTCGCAAAAGTGAAGGTGGTCACTCTGTATCAGCTCAAAAGTGAAGGTAGGGGGAGACTTGGCTCCCCCTATCGCACCTCTGATTGTGGTACATTTGATTGCATCTTAACCTGCATAATCGTCAAAGTTCATCCAAAACCCGCCTAAGTCGCAGTGAAAATTACAAATGAAGTCAAGTATAAAGGCATGTATCACAAAAAGTAAATCAAGAAAAGTTGGACTGTCAACAGCGTTTGAGCACGGTTGTTATTTTTAAAACGCAAATGTGCAAGCGAGTAGAATAGTGAAACTTTTTCATCAATTTTCAAAAAATCATTCTAAAAAACATACTGGATTTGGGTGTGAAATGTCTGTTTTACCCAAGCATTTGATTTCAACGTACATTATGGCACGGCCACAGTTGGTCAAACAAGCGATCCGGACTGTGCTTGGAAATTGTCACATTTTTGGCTGCAGAAATTCACATATAGTAGGTTACAATTCATGGGGTAGGGGAACGAAAGCCGCCAGTTTGAGCCACCTTTCGCGGCTAACTGGTCCTTTCACAACGTTGTTGCTTGTCGTTCCAGGACCAGCAGTCCGCGCAGGCGACCGAAGCTGGCGGTTTTCGTTCCCCTACCCCAATTCATGTGGTTCGCGTGTAAGCAATGTAAGCATATGTGCATAGGAATGCAAACGATAAAGCTGAGTTGTGAGAACAAGATATAAGGTACAGATAAAGGATAAGTATGTTATGTGAATAAGATCAATTGTTGCAGATGTGAGGATGACATGCATTCTGCAGTATGATACATAAGCCACATCGGTGATCATAAGGGGGATTCCAGTGTCAAGCCTCGGCTGTCCAGGTACCAAGCGGCTGATGCCGCCTTCACCCGATCCACTTGCCTCGCCTATTCGACTTCGTCAGACCTCTGTGATCCTCTCATATTTTCCCGCCAATAAACCATTACATGTTACAGTATTGCTGGTCGTTATAATAAATGATGCTATACCACCGTGTTTCTACCGCTGAGTAAGCCGCTTCCACGGCGCTACGTTTACTGGTACCAGCCGAGTGGTTTCGATCCACGTGGGCAAGGTAGGTCTGGTTCAATTTCCGTATCAACCCTGTTCGGTTCCCCACCGGAAATAATCGTGGCTGGCAGCAGAAGGAGAAAACCGCGTTTCAAGTATTTTTTTTTGTTTCTACTCCAGTATTTAGAGTTTTGATGTGACCGTGGCCAGGTCCCACCAAAACTCAGGCTCTTAAACTAAATCAGGGATGACATTTTGATGCATACCGACGGTTTTCTTTTTCCTCGAAATAAAAGTCCGGACTCTTCGAACGAAAATTAACGTTAGTAAAGATAGTAGAGCATCGGCAAAAAACTGTATGTCGACAATAAACAAAGAAAGAGAGAAACCCAGCAGCCCCAGTTTTGTGTAAGCCGGCTAAGAAGATAAGAGAAAAGGGATTCCCCTGCAGGGACAGTAGTGTCGAGCTGCGAACCGTTTTGTATTGTTGTGGTGGGCCATAGCTAAGTACAGTGAAGAGGGGCAGTATCGTTCACATGGAGTTCAGTTGAAAAGCGCGCAGAGTAATGAAGCTGGGTTATGAAACATTTTTTTGTATTTCAGAGGTTCTGGTTCAATAGCCCACGTGTTGGTTCGCATTTTTCCTTTTTTTCCTTAGCAGTTTGATATAGAGCTCGGCGAGATTATTACTCGAGTGAAGCGTTCGTTTTTAGCAAGTAAGTCCCCCCGCATGCATGCTTTTTCCTTCAATCGTTCTAGTTCTAGCATGAGCCGGCCTGACCGCAAGCTTGATAACACATGCCATCTTCATTCGCCTCGCCTGCGCAGGCCGCCAGCTTCACTTATGGTGAGTCATTTTCGCTCTTTTTCATTGTTTCGTTACAATAACAATATCGTCCTCTGCTTCCTTTTTTTGCAACATTGGTAATGTTACACGTGTTTGACTCACTTTTTCTCACTTACGTAGACCAA